TGTACTCCATATCATCCAATTTTCAACACAACAACAACCCAGAACATGATTCCACAACTGCAACCATTCAATAAGCCATACACATACACACGCACACGTACACACACACACACACACACACACACACACACACACACACACACACACACACACACACACACACACACACAGAGGAAGACATAAAAACATGGGGAAAGCCAAAGAGAGGAAAGCAGACAGAGATATGAGAATAATGGTTTGGTTTGTATAACGGACAGACAGGAAGACATGGTCGTATATGACAGAGCTAGATCTCTGTGTGAATGTGTGTTTGATTAAGTGGTAGAGTGGGTGGGAATGCTAAAGAAACATACATCCATTGCTCCAAAGCAAGCTTTGACTCTGAACATCCCTCCCAATATATTATGTCATAACAAAACCCCTCCCAGTACATTACATCATAACCATAGCCCTCCCTGTACATTACATCATAACCAAACCCCTCCCTGTACATTACATCATTACCAAACCCCTCCCAGTACATTACATCATAACCAAACCCCTCCCAGTACATTACATCATAACCAAAACCCCTCCCAGTACATTACATCATAACCAAACCCCCCCCCAGTACATTACATCATAACCAAAACCCCTCCCAGTACATTACATCATAACCAAAACCCCTCCCAGTACATTACATCATAACCAAACCCCTCCCAGTACATTACATCATAACCAAAACCCCTCCCAGTACATTACATCATAACCAAACCCCTCCCTGTACATTACATCATAACCAAACCCCTCCCTGTACATTACATCATTACCAAACCCCTCCCTGTACATTACATCATTACCAAACCCCTCCCAGTACATTACATCATAACCAAACCCCTCCCAGTACATTACATCATTACCAAACCCCTCCCAGTACATTACATCATAACCAAAACCCTCCCAGTACATTACATCATAACCAAACCCCTCCCAGTACATTACATCATTACCAAAACCCCTCCCAGTACATTACATCATAACCAAACCCCTCCCTGAACATTACATCATAACCAAAACCCCTCCCAGTACATTACATCATAACCAAACCCCTCCCAGTACATTACATCATAACCAAACCCCTCCCAGTACATTACATCATAACCAAACCCCTACCAGTACATTACATCATTACTAAAACCCCTCCCAGTACATTACATCATAACTAAAACCCCTCCCAGTACATTACATCATAACCAAACCCCTCCCAGTACATTACATCATAACCAAACCCCTCCCAGTACATTACATCATAACCAAAACCATTTCCAGTACATTAAATTATAATCTAAATGTCTCTTGATGCATCGCAAAGCAGTGGATCATAAACACACACACATAAGCACTTCCTGATACTTCATAACCAAAATACCTCCAAAGCATAACATTCAAGCTCAAACCCCTGGTGTGAAAATTCAAACCTGATATAAACCGAATGATCTGTGAGTTTATTATGTAGGAGTATGAGTGTGAGTGTATGTGTGGACATACATGCCTGCTTGTATACGTGTATGGGTGTATGTATGTGTTTATAAGTGTGTGTGTGTGTGTGTGTGTGTGTGTGTGTGTGTGTGTGTGTGCGTGTCTGTGTATGAATAGAATGAATAGATTATGAGCAGTAATTAGACTTACATGGAAATCAATGTGCTGATGGAGAGAGCTGGAGGCTATGGAATGGGGGGGGGTGAGAGAGAGAGAGAGAGAGAGAGAGAGAACAGAAAGAGACATAGGGTAAGGCTGAGTGTCCTGCCCCCATTCACCCTGCAGCTACACATTTCCTGAGTGTGTGTGTCTGGCCATGATCGTGGTTAATGAACATATGGGTCTTCTCTGATCACACTCATGTGCTTCATACAAGCATAAGCCTTCCTTCACTAATACACACTCCAACACACACACACACACACATACACATGCCTTTCTGCGCCTTACTTACCATAACTCTCCAGCTGCCAGGTGCATTATGGGTTATCTTCATATTAAATGTGTTTAAATAACAATTATATCCCAATATATCCGGCCCACACCACCTGATTGGCCGAGCAATGTTCTACCTGTATGGTTCTGTCTAATTTCACGGGTTCTTTACCTGCTCGTCTATACCTGTATTACTACGGTACCCACATGGACCACCGGTAGCTATAGCAACAGCAATGCTTATTGTTTTCTAAGTTGTTGCTGTCAGCTATCTGCTGAAGTAGAGATGTACAAACGTGGATGTTTTGACAAAAGTAACGGAACGTTCGGGGTTTAAGTGTAACTGAAGTAAACGGAATAATTACTGAAATAACTGAAAACATGTTCGTGTGGTGTTTCATTATATTATTATTTGCATTACACATTCACGCAAAAATATTTATGTATATCGTAAAAAGGTCTTAAGAATGGTTTCAGATTATAATAGAGATTCAGCCAATCCCAGATAATAGTGAAAAAAGAAAGAAAGGAAGAAAGAAGGAAAGAAAGAAAGAAAGGAAGAAAGAAAGGAAACCCACTCTTTAAATGCAAGCATTTTCCATTTTTATTAGGACCATTGTCTAAACTTTTTTTTCCCACCCAGTTCTTGGTGAGAAAGAACAGGTAGCCATTTTGTGTAGCAACTAATTAGCTTGTTGTATGCTAAGTAACATCATTATGCAAATATATTTCGGGAGGTAAAACACAAGGAACTGAACGTCAAGCTTAAGCTACCACAAACCTAAGCTCCAGTCATATTCATCGGAATAACCAGTGGTTGATTTGTGGAGTTTAAATGATTAGCTGCACTGGAAAACCCCTATAAACAACTAATTAGCCATCCTGCCTATTTGTGTAACGACCTAATTAATGCAGCGTTTAATAATTAAATATTAAGACAATTCCTCAAGATTATAAACCCTAATTAATTGCTTAATTACCTCTTTCACTGGTTAACACTGGTTATTATATCTGATTTATCGGTTTGGCATGAAAACCACCCGAAACACACGGAACTGTTGAATAAATTAAAAGTAATGATGATTATGCAGAGCCTTATACATGATTATTTGTATAATTCTACACAGCCTTGGGTTTTAGCCTGTTATACAATTACGTTTATTTAATAAAACAGGAATGAAACACTTGTGTTGTTATAGGCAAATAATCCACGCCAAGATGGAGTGAAGCGTCCGAAGTGGATATTTTATTTTTTAAAATAATATCATGTTTTAATTCATTAAGTTTGATTTGTCGTCCTGTATATTTGAACCGTTCATAGTTACGTTTAACGTCGTTGAACGTCAACGAAACAAGCTAGTTCCAAGTTATGACTTATGCTATAATAGCTACGAACATTTGGCGTTGTTTTCTCACAGAAAACTTACAAAGCGACATCTTTACCTCTAAAGCATTGACACTGGAGACTCCTCCCAAAAATTCAAAGTTCTATAAAAATCTCCTCCAATAAAACTTCAACGTTCAATATTTACTCACGTGTTTAAAAAAAAAACTAAAATACATTTAAGTAGACCGTCCACTCTACCCGTCCATAAATAAGCTGGGACTATCGAAATGATAATGTATTAAAACAGACTCGTTAATATAAACGTTGCAGCCGGAACTACTGTCAGAATTGCTCTTATAGTGAATGAATCAACACGTACTGACCAATCGGAATGGAGCATTCATGAGCGCTGTGCTAGGAGGCTTTGATAATTGTTGGAACTGGTTGTTAGCGCTGCGTTTCGGCCCTGACTGTGCTGTGGTTGAATTTAATGAACCTTCCGTTCAACCTCAATCAGATGAGATTATCGGGTTTTTGGTGATGATTGTTGAAGGTGAAAACGTTTAACCTTGACCTGTAAGGATCACACTCAATATCGCGGACGTGACTGGACAAATTTGCACAGAAAATGGTGTGTGAAATTGGTTCGTCCTTGTCACGGCTCTTCGAATAAACTCTGTTTAAACAGATCATCAGAGCGGGATGAAGGTGCGACCCACTCGGACTCGTAACCTCATTACACACCGCCAGTGTAGTCATTCCAGGAGATTAGAGTGTGTGTGTGTGTGTGTGTGTGTGTACATCATGAACAGAAGGTGATTAAACCCATCCTGTACAGATCAGATCACATAAACACGGTGTGTGCTTCACCACTGAGCCAGATCTATAGTTTCAGTGTGTGAAAAATGATTATTAAATTTTGTATAGCACTTTAACACCGGGTAGCATGAAGTTTAAAAAAAAAAAAACCCCAAACAACTCACATTTTTATTTGCGATTTTTTGATTTGCAAAAATCTTGGAGCACAAAAAGTATCCTCACACGAAAAGGTTGCAAACATGACTGCTTTCAACCAATAAAAACATCGTTTTACGCCCGTACTGATGAACTAATGAATGAAGAACGCTCATGAAGAAATGAGACATTTTGTTCGCAGACGTGCTGAAATGGTATCCCCGTATTAATAGAGCACAAACTGAAGGTTTGAAAATCGATGCAGATGTCGGTGTCGCGTGTTGTTAGCCCGTTTGGTGTCTCGGTTAATAAAGCTCGTGGAAAGGAACAAAGCATCGCACCTCTATTTGAATGCAAACGAGCGGCCGCTGTAATCTCGCTCGATCAAATATTAATGTGGGAAAAAATGAATCCGCATTGGAGATTGTTTTTCTAATTTGCTCGGCGAAGCTCACTTTGGACTCCGGCCTCTATAGTCATCACTGTACGGAGAGTATTGCCCACATAGGCTGGAAATGCACTACTGGTCCTTATTACATTCTTTCCTCATTCACTGAAGGTTATAGTTTGGGTTTGTTAATGCCTGGATCAGTACAGGATAACTGGGCTGATTTTGGCACTGATTTTGTTTAAATTGGTTTATACATTTGAGCAGTTGAGGGTTAATTGAGGGACTGCTTAATGGAGCTTGGTAATATTCAGATGTGAATCTTACAGTCAAAAATGTGACGGCTTAACCACTGCCTTGTAAAAAGCTTCCACTGAGGGGCAAAGGTGGGATTTGAACCCCAAACTCCAAAGTTGCAAGGCAAACATACTAACCACTACACCACTATGCGCCGCTAATACTTTAAAAATCCATTCTTAAAGTATTAAAACATACTCAATGTTTATGACTTTAAATCCGGTAGTGTGGGGTTAATGGTCTGCACTTATATAGCGCTTTTTCCAAATTGTCTTGTGTCTCATTCTCCCATTCACACACACACCAATGGTAGCAGAGCTGCCATGCAAGGCGCTAACTTGCCATTGGGAGCAACTTGGGGTTCAGTGTCTTCCCCAAGGACATGTGGAGTCACGTGGGCTGGGAATCCAACCGCCAACCTTATGATTAGTGGACAACCCGCTCTACCACCTGAGCCACAACCGCCCAGGGTAGCGGATGGTATGGCATGCTGAATGTCTTGGGTAAAAACAGCTATCTTGATGTGATGTATGAAATACAGATGACCATGTTTGTCTGTCATCCCCCATGTTTGTTTTGACCTTGCTTTGTTTGTCAGACATTTTGAATGGAAGAGTGTCATCCATTTATACACTTGTCAGTTCAGCCGTTCCTTAGTTAGCTGATTAAAGCGTTACAAGTTTGCTATACCTAATAAACTGGCAAGATTAAACTGGCAAATCGACTCAAACATTGCAACAAGACTGTGAACACAGGAGGGGGGCGACCTTTTAGGGTTGTCCATTTACCTTAACTTCCCTGGACAGTCCAAAATGGTGAATAATAACATGAGAGAGAGGGAGAAAAAAGTATATATAATTTTTTTTATTAAATATGATATTATTGCCCAAAAGGTGGTGTGTGAGTTGCTACTTTATTAGTTACTACAGTCTATCAGAGCGCATCTACAGCACCTTGCATAAGTATTCACCCTCTTAAAATAAAACTAAAAATAAAACTAAAAAATGTTTAATAACCCGGAACTGAAATGGACTTAATTGGGATTAGATGTCATTAATCTACACAAAATAGCCCATAATATTAAAGTGGTTGAAAAAAATCAGCTTGCACAATTGTTAAATGTTTGCATAACGCCCAACGCTGCTCAGTACACCATAGGTGAGAGCGAAGTGGCTGTGGCGCGGCCGGGAGCGGCTGTGGCGCAGTTGGTAGAGCGGGTTGTCCACTAATCGTAGGGTTGGCAGTTCGATTCCTGGCCCGGGTGACCCCACATGCCGAAGTGTCCTTGGGCAAGACACTGAACCCCAAGTTGCTCCCGATGGCAAGCTAGCGCCTTGCATGGCAGCTCTGCTACCATTGGTGTGTGTGTGTGTGTGAATGGGTGAATGAGACACAGTGTAAAGTGCTTTGGATAAAAGCGCTATATAAGTGCACATTTTCCATAGGTGAAGCATGGTGGTGGTAGCATCATGCTGCTGAGTGTTACAACCATGTCATGCTTCTCTTGGAAGTTTTGGGAAAGGCCTCCTCTAGTCATACATGTGCTATATTCTTTCTATTTTTAATCATGGACTTAATGCTGCTCATTGGAATGTTCATAGCTTGGGATATTGTTTATAACCAAAATGATACTTTTCGGGTACTTTGTCCCGGAATTGCTTTGATAGCACCTTGTTCTTCATGATGCTGTTTGTTCAGGTGTGTTCTCTAACAAACTCTGGGGCATTCCTCGACATGTGTGTTTATGTATATTGAATGGACATCTTTAACTATGCACAGGTCAACTCCAGTCAACTAATATTGTGACGTCTGACGGCAACCGGTTGAGTCCACAGAACGCACCTTGATGCTTCGTCGGATGTGATTCGGAACGCCTGGGACAGTTCTGCTTTTTAAAATTTTTTATAAAATGATAAAGTTCCAAAGTATTTGCAGGCTCGCACATAAAATCACGGCCTCCGTCAATAAACAGGAAGTAGATAAAGGGAAAACCAGGGAGGGTGGGTCAATAAACAAGAAGCAGTGATAGGTAAAGGAGGGGGGAAAAAATGGGGATTCAAGTAAGGGGAAATAGATGAGGATGCACTGAAACCAGAAATCTATCTTCTGCACTTTTAATCCCATTAATGAGCTGCCAGGCTGCTTGGGGGGGCAGAGTTCATTTCCATAATTAACTCGCTGAGCCGTTAACAAAGCACAGGACAAGTCTGCACAAATTGCAAGTTTGCACAAATTGAACTTGGGTCTCTGAGATTAAAATCCGCCATTGCAATTCTTATAGACACTCCCTTCTCTTACATGTTGCCCCATCGCACCCCTCCATAGGATCATAATCATATTAATGAGGGGCGTCACACAGCGGTTAATTACAGCAAAGAGGTGCGATCTGGTTTTTCAATTAAGCCTCACGCTCAGAAGAGTCCGGAAATGTCTTACCGCCCCAGATGAGGGCGGAATGGGAGGGGTGTGGGTCGTGGGTGTGTGTGAGGGGGCAGTTAGCTGGTGCTGGGGTAATTAGGTGCCTCATGCCAGGCCTGTTTAAGGGTTAATGAGGCCCGGCGCTTCAATAGCGCAGCCGCCTGTAGGGGGTTTCACTTTGAAGTGTCACAAGGTCCCCTTGTTCCGGGTGGCTCGTGTTTCATTTGTCTGAGTGGCAAATAAAATATTGATGAGGGCTGCCAGCAGACACTCCACCACCCCGGTCCTTCTCTCTCTCTCTCTCTCTCTCTCACACACACACACACACACACACACACACACACACACACACACGCCCCTAACATTATTCACACATTATCAAATCCCTCCCTCTCACCCTTTAACGACCTCCATGGAATCAAACCAGGGTGACAATGGTGATGCCGGCCAAGTGTGTGTTCTGTGGGCGTGTGTGTGTATGTGTGTGTGTGTGTGTGTCTCAAAAGACAGACAGGAAGAAAACACACTCATCTTAACCTTTTGCAAGTTTATCAAATGGATGATTCAAAGCACCACCATTCTGATGTGAACTGGTTTCTTTTTCTAAATTTGGTGGTTCTCAAAAATGCATTCAACAAACAAACAAACAAACAAACAAACAAACAAACAAATAAATTCTCATCCCACTGACCCCAAACCAGTCACACTGTTTGAAATGCATCTCCGATAAATTTTGAAATACATTTAAAACACTTTCGATCGAAATTAAAAGATAAACTTACCGTGAAAGCCATCATTTCATATCCATCTCATTCCAGTCATTTATTGTCTGTAAATATCCATTATAAGCCACGTTGAATAAAAACATCTGCCGATGAATAAACGGAATTAAAATAATTCAGTAATAAATAATATATATTTTTTTAATGAAATGTAAAATAAAGGGTATTTAAATATAGATTAGTCACACAACTGTAATAATTACATAATAACATTTTTACAACTATAAAATATAGCTATATAACTATAAGGATAGTTGATCATATTTAATACTGCTCTTCATTGTCATCATGCCATAAAAAGTGTGAAGCTTCTCGCTATATGACATGGACCAACTTTTACGGAAATCATAAACCATTTATCTGAAATTCAGACATTATGGGGCTCCTTCATGGCACTGAGATGAAGAGAATACAGACTGTAAAATAATTGTGTTTCTCTATTAAAGCATTGCTTTAATAGTCACATTCAGAGCTAGGACGCAAACTTCCTCCCTGACGTCCGTCAGTACAGACATAGCTAGGTCTGTGGAGTCGAAACTCTAACTCACTCTCCCTCGGGAGACGTTTTTATTGCCTCTATTGTAGCCCGGCTGTATTATACATGTCTGGGCCTCCAGAGATTTCCCATGGTCCATCTGGCCCTGGCCGGTAGGGAACCTCCGTATTGGGCTATATCACCCAGCAGTTTGGTGTGGATTACAGGAGCCATCCAGAGAAATATCGATTGCTTATTTTTATAACCGAAATTGAACACTTCTTCCATCTTCAAGCACAAAAATGGTAAAAATAGGATCCTTTATAAAGTAACTATCTGTAAGTTGAGGTAATATGTAATATTTGTCCTCCATCGATTGGCGTCCGCGGGTCTGAGAAGTGTTATCGTGTCCGAGCAGTTCCACAATCCATTACGCTTTTCATTCAGGCCCATTGGGGACGTCGTAATCTCATTCCGGTCCACTTTGTGGACGTTCAGAACTGTTATTCTATTCAGTGCTGTATTAAACGTCTCACGGCGGCTATTTATTTCGCCTCCGTCCACCTGAGTGATGCACGGCCTGCCGGCTATAATCATTTTAGTGTCGCATTTGGGCTTGATAATAAATCATCCATCCTTCTCCTCTTGTATTTTTTAATCCCCACTCTCTGCGGGATCCATGTCAGTGTTACCTGGTTGAGTGTGAGTGTTTTTGTAATGATGTAGACAGAGTCATTAAACAATCGCTACGTTCCAACTGGAAGGCAGTTCCCTAGGTAGGCAGCCATTTTTTTTTTTTTTTTTTTGGATAGATAAAGATAGAAGTCGTTCTAGTTTAAAGATGGCTGGCCTTTTTGTTTTGGTTGAAGTGTAGGGCATGAATAATTCTCAGGGTAAGCAAAGAAAGTTCTGACAATCATGGAGGACAAGTAGTTGCTTTTAAAAGTGTCTTGTCTTGTACGACGTTTGAGGGAAAAAAAAGGTCAGATGTCGCTGTGGTTGAATTCTGGCAGCTGAAGAAGATGATGCGTCTAGAACAAAAACTAGAGGGACTGGAGGGAGTGTTTCGAGTTATAACATCATTTGAGACGTCAATTTTAAGAAACTCATCAACAATTACACTAAAAATTTAACAAACAAGGTTGGGAAACACACAGTCTGTATAAAAATATCTAAAACATTGCTAGCTAGGTCTGGTTTCTTCTTATTGAGAATGTCACTCTTTGATCAATTTGTTGGACAGCTACAGTATGTGCCAAAGCCAAAATGGACATCCATCCATCCATTTTCTGGATCACTTAACCTACTGAGGGTCACAGTGAGCATGGATCCTATCCCATGGAGCTTGGGGTACAGGCTGGGGGACACCATGGACGGGGTCCCAAACCATCACAGGACACGATCACACACACATTCACACACAATTCACAGACAATTTAGAGACGGCAATAAACCTACAGCACATGTCTTTGGACTGGG